ATATGTTTATTCTGGGGTAGTAGATTTAAAGTTTAGGGCTATCACTATGGGCAGCAACGCTGTAAATCAGGGGTGCCCAACCAGTCGATCGCGAGATGTGTCTAAAAATAGAACAACAATATTCTGTTTTATCGTTAATGTCCTATAACATAATCTTCCTGTGCCAGAATAATGCACTTGAACGCATCAAAGCTTTGTGATTGGCCGGCGTGACCCCATGTGTCGGGGCGTGGCTGCTGGGCAGTGGGCACTAGTTAGCTGACGTTCTCCGTGTCAACAGGAGTGACAGTCCGCACACACACAAGACCGAGGGACTTGGACTGTAGACTTGGTATGTCTTAAATGTCCGGTTAGGATGTATTAGAACGAAATCTAAAATGAAAATTGTAAATAAGCAATCTGTATGTAAAAAAACACCTGTATGTAAATTGTAAATAAGCCATCTGTATGTCAAATATGTCTTATATGTCTTAAATGATATGATGAATTGGAAATGGGGGGACCCTGATGTAAACAAGACGAAAGTCTTTCTCTGGTCTGCATCCCCTTAACAATTGTATGTTTTGAGCTGTACTGTACTGTACCCAATATACAAGCTGTTAATAAACTTTTCAATCAATCAATCAATCAACCGCAATTACGGCAGAATAAAAAAAAGCCCAAAATATATAATTTTCACTCCGAGTGGGAGGATGATTATTTTTGTATCTATTCCAATTCAAAGTCCATCTGTCTCATCTGCAATGCGAGCGTGGCTTTATCGAAGAAGGGTAATTTAGGAGCGGCATTTCAAAACAGTGCACAAACGCTACGAGACGGAATTCCCTCCTAATTCTGCCCTACGCTCCAAAAGGGGAGGGGCCTGAAAGGACAGCTAAATGCACAGCAGTCCATTTTCACCAGGCCCAACAACAAGAGCAAGGCTGCTACCAGAGCATATTATCGTGTCAGGCACGTTCTTGAGAAACACATGAAGTCTTTGTGTGCGAAGTTGTGAAAGAAGCTTTCCTGGAGGCTGCGACGCGCTTTTGGGGGACAGTAAAAATAACATTTCAACAGGTTTTTGATATAATAAAAACTCAAGTTAGATACCGTTATTAATCAGCTGTAAGTTTTAGTTTGTTTGAACTTATTCATTATAATTATTGTACAAAATAGTATAAGAATGCAAACTTAAATTGATTATAGTCTATTATCAATTCAGGTTAAGAAACTAGTGTTGCTTGCATCCTATTAAAGGCATTTCTTTTTATACTCTACTAAAAATGCAACAACAAAAGGGTTTGATTCTATTAATGTTGTCTTTTTTATTGCACGTTGGCAGCAGATTCCTGTGTAGCTTCAGATCTGAGTTGTCTTATTAGTAAGCCTAATTTATACTTTTGTAGCAACACTATTTTTATATAATGGCAAAGAAAGGGTTCAGAGTCTTTTCTTTTGTTCCTGTGTCATATGTGGCAGCACTGTTCAATGTTTCTTGAAAACATTACCCACTGTAGTGACGTGTGAATAAACTCCAACTCTGTATCAACAACACTGTTGTGTAACTTCAGTTAAATACTTGTATGTGTGTAGATTAGAAAGAGGTAAGATAAAGGATCTGCAGTAGTTTATGGAGTATTCATCGTACGAAGGTCAGTTTTATACGAAGTAGAAGTGTGTATTTACCTGGTAATAGGCTGTCAGTAATGGCTACGCCTCTCTATTTGGACTGGTAGATCTCGGCAGACTGCTTTAAAAGTAGCTCTCGGTTCAAAAAAGGTTGGGCACCCCTGCTGTAAATATTGACAAATAAATCCAGGAAAATGGCACAAAAGAAAACTGGTAGTGGCCTGGCTGGGTGTATAATTCCCGGCCTGACTTATTGTCCCAGTCCGGCCCTGCCAGCAGGGGTCGTTTCCACTAGTGGCAGACGCCACTAGTCTATGACAAATGTGTACTTCTTATTGTGTTTTGAGTTTATGAAAGTTGATTGTGACATGTTGGTAGCCTATAAATGTTTTCAGAGTTTGGTTGTGTTGAGCCCCAAACTCTTGTGTCATGGCTGGATCAATAAAACAAGGTAGCAACGACCAAAATCAAAATGGCGACAGCCAAAATGCCAAACTAGAAGCTTTAAAACGGCAGTCCACAAACAATAGGTGATGTCACAGTGAGTGACTACTTCCACTTCTCATACAGTCTATGAGCTGGACACAAACCGGGACTTAAGGGTTTATGTTTAGAACACCAACCCCTTCTCCAACATTGGACTATAATGTAGTCTAAAATGTGGGACACATGGGGACATTCATTCATATTGGACCAGTCTATTGGCCTGTGACCTCTGAAAGTATTCCGGAACACACATAGGAAATAAGCAGGGGATTAGTATAGTCTGAAAAGAAAAATGTGGAGGAAATCATATTATTTTCCACTCTTTTAACCACCATTCTGAGTAATGAGAAAATCAATGAGATTTTTTTGATAAAGTCAGTGGTACAAAATAGAATTTGATATACTTTATTAATCCCCGTGGTGAAATTGTTTCTCTGCATTTGACCCATCCTAGTGTTAGGAGCAGTGGGCTGCCATTTTGAACGGCGCCCGGGGAGCAGTGTAGGGAACGGTGCCTTGCTCAGGGACACCTCGGTAGCACTTGGTCTTGCCGGGACTTGAACTGATGACCTTCCAGTTGCCAAGCCAAGTCCCTATCGACTTCGCCACCACTGCCCCACCAGAAACCCAAAACATAACACAAATATGTGGATAGACACAATCTCCCTCCAAAACTATGAGCATTACACTACTGATATCTTCTGGTTTCAGCCATCCACCAGATGTTGGATTCCCAGCCTGTAGGGATTGATTCTCATTCAGCTACAACGACATAGGGAGGGTCCAACTCTGATGTTTGTGATAAAGTCTAGCTCGTTCCACCCTGAAGGTGTTGGATGGGGTTGAGGTCGGAGCTCTCTGCAGACCAGTAAAGTTATTCAAAATCAAATTGGAAAACATTTTTTGCATGGAGCTGGCTTTGCACACAAGGACATAATCATGATGAAAAGGGTGAGAGACAAACTTAAAGGTCTAGTATTATGCTATTTTTAGGCATATATTATGGGTCTCATTACTCTCATATATATAAAAATATATAACAAACATGTATATGATGTGTTTTGCTAAGAATACCAAACAGATCATGCATTTCAGACATCCCTCATATCCCTCTGTTTCAGCCCTGTTAGAGAACTGCAGGTCCGGGGTCCTTAGCTTGAATGCCTGCTCAGAATTCTACTGGCAGATGCAGCTAAATGCTGCGGTGATTAAACGCCATATCACGTTCCAAATACATCAAGGATTATTTCTGAAACAGTATGGAGCTCAAATGCTTTTTCTCTTGCCGGTCTACCACAAGGTGAGTTTGTTTTTTTATTTCCTGCTTTTTTACACATACTCTCCAGTACAGGTTAGCTCTGAGTGTTAGCGATGCTTGCTAATGTAAACAAAGACCATATTACGTCCAAAACACATAGCGCATTGTTTCTGATAGCAACTTTCTGATAGTGCCGTGGGTCCGCATTTCCGATATTACGTCATATTGGCAGCAAATCTGGATCAACTCCGTTGTACCCCCGTTTTTAGAGATGTGGGTACGGAGGAAAAGAGAGAGGGTTTTATTTTCTGACGCTGTGTGAGTTCCCTGACACACCGGGGACACGTATTTATGTATAAAAGACATACAAACGTGCATTTTGCACAACAGGTCCCCTTTAAACTTAAGCCATGCAGCTGAAAGAATAGTACTCTGAGTGAAATGATTCTTATTGTAAAAAGTATCATTTGTTTATGTAGGATTATTTCGGTGTAGATAATATAAAGAGGACATATAATGCACATTTTCAAGTTCATATCAGTATGTTGTGCCTCTACTGTGACATGTCTCCATGCTTTAATGTTCAAAAATATCTTTATTTCTCTCATACTGCCTGTGCTGCAGCACCTCTTTTCACCCTCTGTCTGAAACCAGAGCTCAGTCTGCTCTGATTGGTTAGTTGTCCTGCTCTGTTGTGGTTGGTCAACCGTCTAGAGATGTCCCGCCCCTTAGCCTATCACTTACAATGTGTTGGAGCGCTAGCCAATAGAAGCGTGAGTGTTACATAGTGATGTCATTATGTTATGGAAGTAAACAAAGGTGTCAAATTGAGGCATTTCAGGCAGGGGGAGTTTGTGGGAGAGAAACTCCTTCTGGAGGGATCTTTGGGATTGTATTCTTTGCAGACAATTCACGTGCACAAAAAACAATTTAACACACTACAGGAACGTCCCTGTAGGTAAGCTTCCACTTTACATATGTGCCAGATTTGCTCCAGTTTGTGGCTCTTACAACCTCAGATCCAGTGCCTGAATACGGTTCCAGGTTCCTGCTGTGCGGACTGAGGCTGGAAAAAGGAGTCTTTTTTATTATGGTCCTTGGTCTTGGAATGACCTTCAATCAAGCCTCCAACTGAGGGCACTTGTCCCTATAGCATGTTTTAAATTGAAGCCGTCTGAAGTCCTTACCACCAGTTGCTCTTGCAGTAATAAGTAGTGTACTTTCCTTACTGTCTTAATGTGCACAATGTAGTGGCTGCTTTTTTGTCTTTTGTTTTCTTAGTTGTGTTCTCTGTATTTTATATGTTGGTGTTATGTGTTATGTGTAACGTTGCTGCCTTCTTGGCCAGGTCAGCATTTAAAATGAGATTGTATCTCAATGCTTTTATCTGGTTAAATAAAGGTTAAATAAAAAATTAAAAAATCCCCAAAAAGCATTATAGGGCCTCTTTAAAAAGCCCTACATGAGAAAACTTCAATATGTTTAAATAAATATATATCTTTGTATTGAGGGCAGGTGTCCTATACAGTTTTTGTCATGTATCACCAGTTTGGCTTATACAATTAATAAATGTGCAAATGAAGGATTTATAACCGTATGCTACCACATATTTAGTCATGACATATTTTAGGACGCTCTCACTCACCAGTTGTTGTTCCAGGTGTGCGCAAAAGCTGTGATGAGGATGAGCTGGATGAGGATGAAGGCAAATCCCCCCACCACACCCACATAATGCCAAGCTGAGGGAAGAGAGGGAGAGAAAACCATAAAGGTTGATTTATCTCAGGGAAGTGAAAGAGGGAGAACTAATCAAAGAGAGAGATAAAGAGAAGCAGCTGTGAATAATAAATCAGCTCTGATATCAGGCTTGTTTCACAATCAGGTTTATTGTTCCCAAACAAAGTGAAATGAAGCTGTAGAGATTTATGGTCCAATAATTCACAGCAGTGAGTCATATAAAGTGTTATTAGGTTTTCAGGAGTGGCTCTCTGCTGTCCTCTAGCTGCACCCAGGAGGAGGTGCACTAACACCATCATCACCATCACGTTTGTTCTCAGTATGGATTTATTTCCCTGCAGTTTCTCACCATGCAGGAAGGACTCTGTGGGGATGAAGAAGGCGGCCATGCACATCCCGAGCAGAGTGATCAACTTCAGGAACCAGAAACTGCAGGAGACACAACAGAAATAAGGGTTATTCATTTATTGTCTCTGTTTATGTCACATTGTTCTTTATTTGTTTGTTATTTGTCTTCTTCTTATACACATAACTCTGTGGGTTACCATTTATAAATAAAAAATAATGGTAAAAGCCATAGAAAGTGTATTATTACTACATGATTATACCATTTAGACCACAAATGGGGTCTTTTTTATATGACGACTGACCAGTGTGAAATAAAAATGTACATCATAATTGTGTAACTTGCTTGAGTTGAGAAGTGCTTGTAAAAACATATAAAATATAGTTTGACTACTGTTTAAAATCCAAATAAAGTATTCAACAAATGTACCTTATGAAGTTATAAACATGCGTCCTTATCCTGTAGGAGGAAAAGGGGGTCCAAGATGGTACTTATCAAATATAGATTCAATTTTAAAATATTGAAGTCTGGTTTGTCAGTAAAAAAAAAACGTTATACATCAAACAAATAAGTAATTTGGAAGACTAATCATTCAGAAAAAAATATTCTCTGCTTACAGCAGGACAACAGATTTTTTATCAATATTAAAATAATTTTGAAACAGTTAAGAGATTGTTTCATGACTATAAGAATTAGCATATATTGCATATTTGTATACCAAGAGTATTTGCTGACCTACATTCTTATTCTACATTTAGATTTATAACGTTTCAGTGATATTTGTGAATACATTTCTAAGATCAAAGAGGTTTTGAGTCTGTACTGATACCCCTGCAGGTCCATGTGTCTCACCCAAGGTTTCAGAGGGCCACTGGGTCACTCCCGACCATAACAAGCATGGAGCCGTAACCTTTGCCAAAGACTCTGGTAGATTTATAGCAGTGAGGATGAACAATCCACTCTGTCAAATCCTAATCTGAATGTTACCAGCGCTCTAATCGGCTGTAATGGAAAGTGTGACAACAAAAGGCTTTAAATAGACCAGCAGGCGGGGTCAGGAGGTGACCAGAGGAGGACAACAACTAGTCTTTACACACTGACTGTCCTATTTTCAGATGTGTTTATTTCAAGAGAGGCTTGGACTATTCTGGATGGGCAACCTACTGTATTCTGATTCAGGAAAAAAAACATCTTGTAAGATATTTCAGAGAAAATTCCAGTGCCTTATTATTTTTTGGTGGTTCATTTTCAAATTCGAAGTTTTCAAAGAAGCTAAAAGGAGCAGACATCTTCACCCCTTTATGTCTTTGTGAATGATCCCATTTTGTCAGCAGGTTTAATAAAAAACACACAAATCCACCATTACCAGCAGTCAGGACTGTTATGCTGCGTTCATGTGCAAGTACAAAAGTCATGGATTTAAATACTTTGAAAAATCAGTCTCAATTTTTGTTTTGTTTTCTCAGTAGGAACATGTATTTGATATTTGATATACTTTATTAATCCCCGTGGGGAAATTGTTTCTCTGCATTTGACCCATCCTGTGTTAGGAACAGTGTGCTGCCATTTTGAACAGCGCCCGGGGAGCAGTGTAAGGAACGGTGCCTTGCTCAGGGACACCTCGGTAGCACTTGGTCTTGCCGGGACATGAACTGGTGACCTTCCAGTTGCCAAGCCAAGTCCCTATCGACTTCGCCACCACCGCCCCCATGTTGTGAGGTGTACTGTGCACTGACCCGTTGTGTATGAGCGCTCTGTAGTCCTGACTGGACTTCACGTCTATGAGGAAGATGGCCATCATCAGGTAGAAACAGGAAGTGCCGAAGCACACTCTGTAGACCGCCGAGTAACCCACCAGCATCTCACAGTGACCCCCGCCGTGCGCCTGGTCACACACCATGTTGAAGAAAGGCACCTGACACACACACACACACACACACACACACACACACACACACACACACACACACACACACACACACACACACACACACACGTTTTTATCTATTTTCCTACTCAAAGCTGTCAGCAACAGTTATAAAAAAATCAACCGACCACCAACTTTATGGCTTTTGTGCTGATAATAAACAGGCTCAGTCAGGAAATAAGGTAGAGTGAGGGGTACGACCTCGTTAAGTCACATTATAGTAACTCTGTTTTGTTTTTTTGTGTCTTGTGGCCTGTTGACCTGCAGCAAATCACACACCATCTCAGTGTATAATTATCATATTTGGCCCCTGCCAATTCTAATTGAATAATTACTTTACTGTATGTTATTTTCTGTCAGAAATGTTGTACAGAATAGTTATAGAGTTCTGTTGCTAGCTGTCAATGAGATTATTGATTGTTTTGGTTATAGTTCAGTACATTGATTTGATTTGCTTTATAGAGGATGAGATGTAGGGCTCACATTTTCCCTGACGAGCTCGGAGACGGTGCGGGACAGCATGAGGCAGGAGACGGCGCAGCTCATGATGTGGAACAGGGTGTACATGATCCGCGTGGTGGTGGACGATTGCACCGGAGGACAGAAGGCACAGCAGAGCGAGCAGGGAGCCGGTCCACAGCAACAGCAAATCTGAAGAGGAGGAGAGGAGAGAAGCAGATCAGCATCTCACACAAACACAACAACCAGTCTGACAACCAGGAAGCACCAGAGGTCGTTGTTGGCTCAACCCTTTGCACTCAGGTCCTGTGTACATGAAAGAAATTGATCATTGTGACAATTTTCCAACTGACAGTTTCTCCTGCAACTTGCACAGAATGAACAGCGTGAACATGTAATACTTTTTTGTGGCATTTAAAAAAAAAGAAGCAGACATTTAAATATTTGCTCTTGGGGGAAGGTATAGTGTTTTCAAGTCAGGTCCAAAGCCCAATTCCAAGTGGAAGTCATCGGTGTTCACAGGCAGCTCAAGTTGCAAGTCTTTTAAAAAGAAAAAAGTTGAGTCTAAAAGTAATCAAATGTGTGACTTGAGTCGAGGCGTGTACTTGAGTTCGTTGAGTACAGGCCTCTGAAAAACACACCTTTAAACTAGTGCTGTCAAAATTATCGCGTTAACGGCGATAATTAATTTTTGAATTAATTGCGTTAAAATATTTAACGCATTTAACGCATGTGCAGAATGGCCCGCCCCATACGTGCCACCAGTGGCAGCGCCAGGGTATGGCTGGGGTAGGCTACACCCATACCAAGAAATGGCTTAGCCCCACCATGAAAAATGATGTTAAAGGAAGCAAAATAAAGTCTGCCAACTCGCGCGGAGTAAATTGCACAGACAGCAGTTAGTAAGATTGATTTCAGTAGCCACGGTTTTGAAAACTTTTGTCACGTAGTGATCGTCTTCTCAATAGAACATCTTTGATAACGGCGTGGTGTTGTTGCAGGAAGTCCCGACGGAGAATACTTTTGCTGTAGTACAGGGGTGCACATAACTGGTACGCAGGTTATGTGCGTAATCTGAAATGCGTACCGTCACAAAGCGCATTTGCGTACCGACGTACTTGTGAAGCTTTTCAAGAAGGCGGTTAGATCACCGGTGTTCCGGATTGACTGGTTCCCCGATCAACTGGTTGACAGATGTGGAGGCGTGGCCTCGACTGAAATACACATTTCGATCGCTTCTTCTGTCGTTTACATACATATTTTGGTATATTTGGCTGGATAGGAACACTTTGATGCACATTCAGTACCAGTGTGTGAGGTTGTGCTTACGATGGCAATATCCGGACGCGAACAGCGAGGACTACAAAAAGAAAAACGAGTTGATCGGGGATGTCTGTTCAAAACATTGCGAGCTCCAATAAATCATTTAAACCAGCTATTGTTGCCAGACTTATTTCTGAATATCGTTCTTAATGTGATACCAAGTCCATCTGAGACCTGTGTACACCTTCAGACAGCCTCCAAGTGAAGCACATGTTCTTTACTCACAGTTTGAAAGCAGCGTGGAGAAGTCTTCAGCTGTGTTAAGCTGTGATCGCTCGAATAAATCCTTAAAAGCAGCTATTGTTGCCCGATTTATCACTGAATATCGTTCCTAATGTGATACCAAGTCCATCTGAGACCTGTGTACACCTTCAGACAGCCTCCAAGTGAAGCACATGTTCTTTACTCACAGTTTGAAAGCAGCGTGGAGAAGTCTTCAGCTGTGTTAAACTGTTCCTCTCAGGTAAACTGTGATTCGCCCATGGGAAAATGGGATCCGCCCAGATTAAACTGTGTTACGACTTCTGTGGCTATCTACCAGCGATCATGTTTAATATGAAAGACACACACATCTACATGCCTTATAAAAACGGCATTCTGCAGCACTCATCCAGATAACATGTGACTGTTAACTCGTTTTGCAAAGATAGCAGCAGAAATGTCATTGCTGCATGTGCAGGGATATTAGACTTTAAAATGCTGATGGGTCATTAATGTTGGTCTCGGCAAACAATATTAGGAATCCTCTATTCAAACCACATAATATTCAGTGTCCATCGACATGAAAATAACAAAAAAGTTCATGCTGGACTCAAACCCGAGTTCCAACAGCAAAAGTCACTCCAGCCCTGCGCGTTATGAGTGCGCCACAGATCAACACGAGGTATCGAACCACCACACTATAATATTTTAGATTAACCTTAACACACTTATATGTAAAACTAACACTTATCACAACATAATGTGGGCTCGCAGGCTGATAAACTAGGATATCTGATCTCGGTGGGTCTTAATGAGGCTTGATACAGACCTCAGTCAGTAGGCTATACTATATTATAATATGTATATTATATGGCTTAAAGTGTACATTCGCTCACATTATAAATGATGGTCGGGTTGCATTTTTCTGGAACTTTTTAACAAGGTTAATCTAAAATATTATAGTGTGGTTGTTCGATACCTCGTGTTGATCTGTGGCGCACTCATAACGCGCAGGGCTGGAGTGACTTTTGCTGTTGGGACTCGGGTTTGAGTCCAGCATGAACTTTTTTGTTATTTTTATGTCGATGGACACTGAATATTATGTAGTTTGAATAAAGGATTCCTAATATTGTTTGCCGAGACCAACATTAATGACCCATCAGCATTTTACAGTCTAATATCCCTGCACATGCAGCAATGACATTTCTGCTGCTATCTTTGCAAAACGAGTTAACAGCATGTTATCTGGATGAGTGCTGCAGAATGCCGTTTTTATAAGGCATGTAGATGTGTGTGTCTTTCATATTAAACATGATCGCTGGTCACAGCGACATAAGTCGTAACAGTTTAACCTGGGCGGATCCCATTTTCCCATGGGTGGATCCCAGTTGACCCTGAGCGAATCACAGTTTACCTGAGAGGATCACAGTTTATCACAGCTGAAAACTTCTCCACGCTGCTTTCAAACTCTGAGTAAACAACGTACGCTTCACTGGGAGGCTGTCTGAAGGTGTACACATGTTTCAGATGGACTTGGTATCACATTAGGAACGATATTCAGTGATAAGTCGGGCAACAATAGCTGGTTTTAATGATGTATTCGAGCGGATCACAACTTAACACAGCTGAAGACTTCTCCACGCTGCTTTCAAACTGTGAGTAAACAACGTGTGCTTCACTTGGAGGCTGTCTGAAGGTGTACACAGGTCTCAGATGGACTTGGTATCACATTAAGAACGATATTCAGTAATTAGTCTGGCAACAATAGCTGGTTTAAATGATTTATTGGAGCTTGCAATGTTTTGAACAGACATCCCCATGTCAACTCGTTTTTATTTGTGTAGTCCTCGCTGTTCGCGTCCGGATATCGCCATCGTAACCACAACCTCACACACTGGTACTGAATGTGCATCAAAGTGTTCCTATCGAAGCCTAATATACCAAAAGATTTATGTAAACGACAGAAGAAGCGATCGAAATGTGTATTTCAGTAGAAGGCCACGCCTCCACATCTGTCAACCAGTTGATCGGGGAACCAGTTAATCCGGAACACCGGACGACAGAGCCGGTCTCCGTGTGCACAGACAGGGCTGCTGTTAACGTCGGTCTGTACAACGGAATTGTGCCAAAACTACGCCAACCGGCTGCGGAGGGAGACTCCCCCCCTTCACTGGAGAACTGCGCTAAAACAGCTGATCACAACGTTCACACTCTGTGGTCACGAAGTACTCCACTAGCCGCCTAGACCCCACGGTTTGATGATTGATAGGTGTGTGGGTTGTCTTTCATTTTGACACGCAGAAAAATGTTATAATAAACATAGATACTGTGTTAAATGGATATATCCGCCTTCTTTCATTTATCTTTCCATTCCCAAAACAATATACATAAATAAATGGCATATTTTGGACATAGTTCGAATGGTGATTAATCATGATTAATTAATTTTTAAGCTGTGATTAATCTGATTAAAAAATTGTAATCGTTTGACAGCCCTACTTTAAACGTAAGAGGGTGACAATAAGGAATCTGCGTTTTCACACACATGTGAATAAACATCCATGAGGCAAAGTAAAATAAATGTACTATATATATTTTTAAGCAAAAAGACAACTGCGTTATCCATCCCATGTGATGTATGGGGTTGGATGTAGTGTTAGAGCATACATGTCAAACTCCAGGCCCGCGGGCCAAATCCGGCCCTTGGTGGATTTAATATCGGCCCGCAGGATAATTACTATTTACTATTAGATCTGGCTCACCGGTATATTTCACGCACACCTTCACTCAATCCTGAGGATTTCCTCAGCTCAGAGCCTGAGCCCAAACATTGATGAACTTGCACCCAAGATGAGATGCCAAGTAGCCTATCTGGCTTGAACTAGCATCACAGAGCAGCAAACTGAGCACTTTTTTTTCTTGCAGCAACAGGGCATGTTTGATTTTTTCTTTGAGGGAAATTGTTTTTGAAGCTGTTGTTGGCCTGTGGAAAAATATAATCATAAGAAAAGACTCAGATAGAGCCATAAGCAATGAATGCAACATATTTTTCGTTTATTTAATGTTTAATGTTGTTTTTATAGGCAATCATTTAAGCTTTGTTAGTTCAAGGTTTAATATGTGCAATAAGTTCATTTGAATAAGTTTTGCAATAAACATTGAACCAGTCCGGCCCTAGACTAGTACCGATTTGAAAATGTTGGCCCACTGTGTATTTGAGTTTGACACCCCTGTGTTAGAGGATCTTTCAACTCTTCATTGTAAATTATTACATTAAAATGGTGACAAATGAAGAATCAACATAAAAATCAACATCAAGCGAGATATTTCACGAGATATTCCCTCAGCCGCCCTTGAAATATGTCTACATAACTCACATTACAATTTGTTGCATCACATACAATATGACAAAACAGTGAAAGACACAGCAGTGTTAAATTCAACACGTACTAAAGGTATGATGCTGTGTATCATTCTGATAAAGGACATCCTGTAGGTTTCAGACCCTTCACAGCACTCAAACAGCAAATGAACAGTACTATTTGATTTCCTTTGTGGACGCATGGCTCCAGGAATTTAAACTCATGTTGTCTGAAGATTTTGGAGGTCACTATCTCAGACAGCTTTCACTGACAGTGTTTGAATTTATAGATTAAAGTGGACCTCAT